ATTTTGTATTTTTAGTAGAGATGGGATTTCTCCATGTTGGTCAGGCTGGTCTTGAACTCCCGACCTCAGGTGATCCACCTGCCTCAGCCTCCCAAAGTGCTGAGATTACAGGCGTGAGCCACCATGCCTGGCAACCAATATATTTTAAAAGCTATAACAGAACATTAAAAAAAAATCTAAAATGTTTACAATGTGTTTTTAAGCTTCGTATCTCAAGGAGATATCTATGTCTATTTAAATATTTTGTAAGTTTAGACTAAAACCATAAACAAATTGAATTTTAACTTCTATTCAATGCCTTCCTACTAGAAACTACAAAACTGCATTGCTTATTTTTTATTCTATCAGTTATATGTTTAATCCAAATCTAAATGTATGTGAAAGGAAAGTACCTCTATGCTTCCCATAGGCATATGAAAAGTATTTTATTTTATTTTATTTTTGCTCTGTTGCCAGACTCTAGGCTGGAGTGCAGTGGTGGGATCTCAACTCACTGCAACCTCCGCCTCGTGGGTTCAAGCAGTTCTCCTGCTTCAGCCTCCCAAGTAGCTGGGACTACAGGCGCACGCCACCATCCCCAGCTAATTTTTGTATTTTTTAGTAGAGACGGGGTTTCACCATGTTGGCCAGGATGGTCTCGATGTCCTGACCTCATGATCCGCCCGCCTCAGCCTCCCAAAGTGCTGGGATTATAGGCGTGAGCCACCGCGCCCGGCCTGAAAGGTATTTTAAATGTTGTCTTTTACAGTTATTTTTTCCTTCAAAGATCTCTTAATGATCTATTGTATCAGTCTCATCATCTATAACTAATATTAACTTTGTTATGAAGTCATTTTAAGCCAGAATTCTGTCTTATTTAGTGGTACCCTAATATGCTTATACACATGTAGTTAACAACCCATCACATCAGATTACCAACACACCATATTTTGTTAAAATACAATTATTTTGCATTATGATTTACTAACCAATCTAAACCAGTAATTTTGCCAAAGCTTTACTGTATAGGGGAGATAAAGGTAAAATATGAGGAAGATGTTAATTCCCTACAACAGGACCTGACAAGCAGTAGGCCTGAGATACATATTTGTAGGGAGGAAAAGAGATTATTGAAAAATTTAGATCATTTGAATATATCATTAGAAAGTATGAGATAGCAGCATAATAATTAGATGCTTAAACATCTAACGATAAGAAAATAATGCTTCTGAAAATCAACAGATGTCAAGCAACAAAAACTCTTGGGGAAAATGACTTTCCTATATTTTTGGCATGCTTCTTTAAAAGGCTAAAACTATCAAGGATGTTGCTGTATTCATATCAAATTAACATCTTGAAAAATATTTTCTAAAACTTGCATATTGTATAATCTAGCAAGCTATAAAGCTATGAAAATGGAAAACAGAATATAAAGGAATTGTCACCAAGTATAAATGAAAGTTGCTAGTATCAGAACTTCTGGATCTGTGTTTCAAATGCCAAAGTCTACAGGACTGCATTCTAAAGTTCTATCTGATACAAACCCTGACTTGCCTATTGAAAGTCCTGGCTTGCCTACTGAAAACCCTGAGTTGCCTATTGAAAGTTACGGTGATTTATGGAGAAGCTCAAAAGAAGATGCAGTCACAGAAAACAGTGTAAACCAAATTCTAAGTCCGCCCTCCCCCAATCATCTGAATGGACTTCCTCCTCAGCTAGGGCTCTTTTGACCTGAGAGACTGGTTCAGGCCATGACAGCAAGTAGGAGTGAGACATGCTTGATTATACACCTCCAGCATTAACATCAACACAGACAAAGTCCGATATGAAACATTTTACAACCATTCTCTCTGAAGCCTGCGACCTGGAGGCTTCATGTGCATGATAAAACTTTGGTCCCCACAACCTTTTTTTTTTTCTGGGATGGGGTCTCACTCTGCCTCCTAAATTCAAGACTTCAGCCTCTCAAGTAGCTGGGATGACAGGGGTATGCCACCATTCCTGGATAACTTTTGCATTTTTAGTAGAGATGGGATTTCACTGTCTTGGCCAGTCTGGTCTCAAACTCCTGAGTCTCCACAACCTCTTATCACAACCCAGACATTCCTTTCTATTGATCCCAGGTCTTTGGATAAACTCAACCAATTGTCAATCCAAAAATTTTAAAATCTGATAGATAAACTCAAGTTCTTCCTCAAATAAAGCATACCCTGTCTCCCTGTTCTTTGAATTTTAAAAGGCCTAACCCACTGATGCCCTAACCTGTCAGGGTGTGCCTAGACATGGCCAGGCATGTCTTAGCTTATAGCATATACCCCTTTCCTTATTTAGACATGTTATTGCTTTCCTAGCTCTTTAGCAAGTGACTTCCTCCCTCCCTTTGCTCTCCATTGTCTTTACCAGTTTAGGATAGTTTTAAGCTCTTTGCCAATTGGGGTTTAGCTTAGACTGTGAGGTCCAGCTCCAGCCAATGGAGACTGGACACATGGTCGAAGCCTCATGCATTAGGGATAAAAAGTTCCCCTCTCCTTTGTTCATGGTGCTCTTGTGGCGAGCAGGTTCACAGGTGGCACCATTCTGTGTAGGTAAAATTGCCTTGCTGAGAACTTCTTTGAGTGCTCGTTTTCTTTGCACCTTCAAACTTTTACTTCCAACATCCACCTATAAGGTTCCACCTGGAACCCCCAACCCCCAAAGTTGTCCTCCCTTTCGAGACCAAAGCAAGGTATTTCTTAAGTGTATTTGACTGTTGTCTCATGCCTCCCTAAAATGTGTAAAACCAACCTGCACCCCAGCCACCTTGGGTACATGTTCTCAGGACCTCCTGAGGGCTGTGTCATGGGCCATGGTCATTTATATTTGGCTCAGAATAAATCTCTTCAAATATTTTACAGGGTTTGACTCCTTTTTGTCAACCAAAGTGTCTTTTCAAATATTTTTTCCTCTTAAAATCAAACTACTGCTTAGCACTCTATTTTCTAAACAACCATTTAGAATTGAAGGTAAACAAAATCTATAGTTTAAGTGTACTTTGCATATATTAAAGGATCACAAAATAGTTTAATGGGTTTTCATTTTTATTAAAGTTATTCACAATTCCTACTTCAAGATATTCCACAACATAAGAAAAGGAATATTATAGCTACTTGTAGGCAGTACCAGTTGAATTAATGCAAATTTTTGAAATATGATTTAAATATTTTTCATAAGACAGGCATTTAATAAAATATGTGAATTTCTTATACTATATTACCAAAGGTAAAGACTCCCTGACAGTTTCTTCCGTATAAAAATCCAAGACGAATCTGATCGAGTAAAGAGCAGAATGAATATTAGGACTTTTGAGAACTAGTAACCTAATCCATATTGCTCAATGAAACATTAAGCTGCAGAGGAAACATTATAATGTAATGTAATAAAAGAAATAGCACCTTTGAAAAACCAAGTTATAAAGTAAACTTTTGCAACAATATTCTACAAATCTCTATGTGAAAAATAAACTACAAATCTCTGTGAAAAAACTACAAATCTCTATGTGAAAAATATCTGTAAAGGTTACCACCACAAAATCAAGTGATTTTTAAAAGTGTAATGTTACATGTTGATTGTTAAATGGAAACAATACAGAACATTTAAAGCCAAAATTAGAACTAGATATCCATTGGACAAAAAAAAAAAAAAAGTTTATTTTCTTTTAAAATCACATATTTAATATTTTCTCAAAAACTGGGTAGTAAATCAACATTTCTGAATAAAAGAAGGACATTTTTTAAAGGCCCTACTTACAAATTAAGGCATTAAAGTATTTCTAGCATATCTTTTTTATTAAATACAAAGACAGGAACTTTATTACAAGACATTTTGCTGTTCAGTGGAATTCAGAATGAGATAAGTCTGTTTTTAGATCATACCCCAAAATATTTAGCTACCTAAGTACCACAAGTGGATTATCCTAACAATTGTTACAAGACAATTCCACAGTGTAGAGAAGATTTTCTCAACCAAAGTTCTGAGTACAGCCTCATCATCATCATCATCATTATTTTTCAGAGACAGGGTCTTGCTCTGTCACCCAGGCTTAAGTGCAGTTGTACCATCATAGCTCACTGTAACCTGGAATTCCTGGGCTCAAGTGATCCTCCCACCTCAGCCTCCCAAGTAGCTGGAACTATAGTCATGTGTCACCATGCCTGGTTAATTTTTTTTGTATATACATATATATTTTTAAGAGATGGGGTCTTGCTGTGTTGCTGGTCTTGGACTCCCGAGCTCAAATGATCCTCCTGCCTCAGCTTTCCAAGGTGCTGGGATTACAGGTGTGAGCCACCACTCCCAGCCTGAATACAGCATTGTAATCAGATGTCCTGTTATTTTTTTAACAGTGGGGCAAATACGTATGCTCTTCCTAACCTCTTAAAACCTTCACAGTTGAAAAGCTTGTCTTTAAGTGGCTAATTTAAATAAAAATAGATTTTTTTAGCGGTATAAATAATTTCAACTGCCTAGAAATATTTCCAAGGAATATTTTCCAACTGTGACACATCCACTTGAATTCATGTGTGTGTTTTTACGCTGTTATTTTACCTACATCAAAAGTCTTATTTTAGCAAATTATATCCACGCTTCCAAAAATTGTTATTAATCATAACTTTGCCTTGTTTCCTGAAAAAATAGATTGTGGGTTCAAAAACACCAATACATTATTAACAAGTTGTTAACAAATTTGCATTTACTTTCATTTATAAATATCACATAAATATCACTGGCAGGTATAATAGTAAATCATTAAACTAATTCCTAAATATTGATTTTAAAAGCTTTGAGCATGTTTAAAAAAAAAGTAGTAGAAGTTTTTTTTCCCCCAGGTAATACACCTAATTATTTTCTTAGTAATCAACACCTACCCAAGAGTTATTGATATTTGCACAGTTCTTGTAAAAAATAGATCTGGCATAAGAGGAACACAAATATTGGCAAATACCACATGTCTCAAGTTATATTTTAAGAAACCATACAATCCATGATATTTCACAAAGTTGTTTATTCTTGTTATTAAAACTTGGACTCAAGTAAATCCTGGTTATTCTGGAAAAAGCACCTTGTTTGCAGGGATCATTTAATCATCCTTTTCTACAATCACCTCTCCATGAAGCACCTTTCTTCTTTGACGTAACATATGAAAATAGAGTTGTGGAAACACTTCGTTGAAAAAGAAAACAAAGAAAATGTTTTAAAATCATTTATACTTGAAACCTGTTAAATATGGCAATGTTAGAGAGTAAATACATTCCATGCCACTGCTGTTCCCTGGATATTTACAGACCTCAGGAGTGTAAGGGTGCAAATGGTGGGGTACAGTGGCTCATGCCTGTAATCCCAGCACTTTGAGAGGCTGAGGTGGGCGCATCACCTGAGGTTGGGAGTTCAAGTCCAGCCTGACTAACATGGAGAAACCCCGTCTCTACTAAAAATATGAAAAATCAGCTGGGCATGGTGCTGTATGCCTGTAATCCCAGCTACTCGGGACGCTGAGGCAGAAGAATCACTTGAACCTGGGAGGCGGAGGTTGCAGTAAACCAAGATCGCACCATTGCACTCCAGTCTGGGCAACAAGAGCAAAACTCTGACTCAAATAAAAGAGTGCAAATGGAGGCTACATATCACATGCCTAAATATTATAATGCTGTAATTGTTGGGGCTTTGTTTTTATTTTTGCTTTTTTTTTTTTTTTCTGAGACAGAGTCTTGCTCTATTTCCCAGGCTAGAGTGCAGTGGCATGATGTCAGCTCCCTGCAACCTCTGCTTCTGGTTTCAAGCGATTCTCCTGCCTCAACCTCCCGAGTAGCTGGGATTACAGGCACATGCTACGTGGCTAATTTTTGTATTTTTAGTAGAGATGGAGTTTCACCATGTAGGTCAGGCTGGTCTTGAACTCCTGGCCCCAAGTGATCTGCCTGCCTTGACCTCCCAAAGTGCCGGGATTACAGGCATGAGCCACTGCACCTGGCCTACTTTTGCTTGTTTTTTAACAAACTTAAATACCTTTTTAAAAAATACCTTCATAATGACATGGAAGACCATGTTTGAATTTAGAATTCTGAACTCTCTGGAATGCTGTGCCAGAACATTCCAGCACAGGGAAAACGGGTCCACCCAACTTCCTCTTCTCCATTCTCTTGGCCTTATCCTGTACCGCAAGGGGTCTCCTGTACATGTGTGTAGAGACCCTGGTGCATACATCTAAGCTTCATCCATACTGCTCACAAATAACTACCCCCCAGCTATCCTTTACTCAGGGATGCATATACTGATACATGGTTAACCCTCAGGACAATGATCAAGGAAGAAGCCTAGTCAGGGCCCAGATGCATGCTCATTGCCATCTGGATAGCAAATTCCATGGTCTCAGGGGTGGCTGGGTGCGGTGGCTCATGTCTGCAATCCCAGCACTTTGGGAGGCCAAGGTGGGCAGATAACGAGGTCAGAAGATCGAGACCACCCTGGCTAACGCAGTGAAACCCCGTCTCTACTAAAAATACCAAAAATTAGCCAGGCATGGTGGCATGCGCCTGTAGTCCCAGCTACTCAGGAGGCTGAGGCAGGAGAATTGCTTGAACCTGGGAGGTGGAGGTTGCAGTGAGCCAAGATCACACCAGTACAGTCCAGCCTGGGGGACAGAGCAAGACTCTATCTCAAAAGAAAAAAGGCAGTGGGCTGCTGTGTGGAGTGACAGTGAGGGGCTACAACAAGGTCCTCTAAATGGGGCCTAAAGCAGAAGCTCTTCCTGGCTGGGTATAAGGGTATTTAGTCTATTACATAATAAACACATGAATATATATGTTATTAGGTCAGTTGGACAAATTGTCATCTGCTCAGTCAAATTTGAAGAATATTTTGAACCAATTTGAACCAGTGTTTCAAATCACAGTATAAATGTTGGTGGATAAACAAATCAATATCAGCTATAAACAATACCAGTGTAAAAATATTTCTGAATATAATGAGAATAATCAAACCAATGAACCTTATCACACAACAAGCTTTGAATATTCTGCTTAGGCAACTTTGGGTAAAAATTTCTTTGTAGAACTTAGCTCAAACAGAGCCAAAATGTATAACAGGTTTTATTTCTTTTTATTTAGGTACTTCCTAACTTCAGAAAGGTAACCATTATATTATATATCTAGGGGCCTAAATTTATTCAGGTCATAATTACTTAAACTCACTGACCAGTTATTTTAAATATTTTCAAAAAATTCTTTTTTTTTTTTTTTTTTTTGAGACGGAGTTTCGCTCTCGTTACCCAGGCTGGAGTGCAATGGCGCGATCTCGGCTCACCGCAACCTCCGCCTCCTGGGTTCAGGCAATTCTCCTGCCTCAGCCTCCTGGGTAGCTGGGATTACAGGCACGCACCACCATGCCCAGCTAATTTTTTGTATTTTTAGTAGAGACGGGGTTTCACGATGTTGACCAGGATGGTCTCGATCTCTTGACCTCGTGATCCACCCGCCTCGGCCTCCCAAAGTGCTGGGATTACAGGCTTGAGCCACCGCGCCCGGCCAAAAAATTCTGAGTAGCTGAACAGAAGGTATGGGCTTGAGTTCAAACTCTGGCTTTATTCACCATATTCACCAGCTAGTGATTTTTTTTTTTTTTTTTTTTTTGAGATGGAGTCTCACTCGTGACGCTGAGGCTGGACTGGAGTGCAGTGGCACAATCTCGGCTCACTGCAACCTCTGCCTCCCCAGTTTGATTCTCTTGCATCAGCCTCCCAAGTAGCTGGGACTACAGGTGCCCACCACCACGTCTGGCTAATTTTTGTACTTGTAGTGGAGATAGGGTTTCACCATGTTGGCCAGGCTGGTCTTGAACTCCTGACCTCAAGTGATCCACCCACCTTGGCCTTCCAAAGTGCTGGGATTACAGGTGTAAACCACCATGCCCAGCCGCCAGCCAGTGATTTTTAAGCAACTCACTTAACCTCTTTCATCTTAATGTAAATGAGAAATTATACTGCTACTTTTGAGTACTAAGTACTCAAAAAGTACTTTTAATTAGCAAAGGATTTAATAAGCGAAGAAAAATTAGTTGATCTACTACTAACATCAAGAATGCAGGGGGAGGAGGGAATTAAAAAAAAAAAATTCAGTGAAAAACACATCCCAGGCCGAGTGATCTTCTGGCCAGTGGAACTCAGCAGCTGGCAGCATGGTAAACTGGGAAGCTGCTACTTGTACAGGCCAGAGTCTGCATCTCCCAGGACACCTGTAAAAGGTGCCTCAGGTCCTCTGTTTCCATGGAGTTGCCTCAAAGGCCATGAGGAAGAGAATAACCCACTGCTTGAACCTGTAACTGTCAGACACCTAAGCAAGCTCTGGTTCTGCTCAAGGCATGCTACCATTAGCCACTGGGAAAAGTGAGGGATGTGAGCCAAGAGAGTAGGCTTCCCCTCCTTAGCTCTCTTGAACTGGCCCGGGTAGAAAATCAGATACAGAATCGGGTTGAAATGGTAGAAGATGAGGGGAAAACACATCTTTCACCACTAAGTAAATTCTGATTTTGGGAAAGATGCAAGTTAAAGGCATTGGCCAGAGGCGGTGGCTCACACCTGTAATCCCAGCACTTTGGGAGGCCGAGGTGGGCAGATCCCTTGAGGTCAGGAGTTTGAGACCAGCCTGGCCAATATGGTGAAACCTCATCTCTACTAAAAATACAGGAATTAGGTGGGCATTGTGGCAGGTGCCTGTAATCCCATGAACCCAGGAGGCGGAGATTGCAGTAAGCCAAGATCACACCACTGCACTCCAACGTGGGCAAAAGAACCAGACTCGGTCTCAGAAAAACAAAAAAAGTTGGATACCTCAAGAGGCCAGCCAAGTTTTATGTTCATCCCCTTTAGATGAAATAGTTTATATCACATCAGTGTAGGTTTTAGAGCTATCAATATTTGACCTAAAAATATATCACTGTTAGCATTTTTTTTTTTGACAGAGTTTTGCTCTTTTGGCCCAGGTTGGAATGTAATGGTGCTATCTCAGCTCACTGCAACCTCTGACTCTTGGGTTCAAGTGATTCTTCTGCCTCAGCACCCGCTACCATGCCCAGCTAGTTTTTGTGTTTTTAGTAGAGATGTAGTTTTGCCATGTTGGTCAGGCTGGTCTCGAACTCCTGACCTCAGGTGATCCACCCAAAGTGGATCATCTCCCAAACTGCTGGGATGACAGGAGTGAGCCACTGAGCCCGGCCTCACTATTAGCACTTAAATGGAGTAAAGCCTCACCAATTCATTGTAACTACTGAAAGGTGATGAGAAATTAGTGAAGAGGCTGGGTTATTCAAAATCCTTTAAGAAAAGTGGCTTTTATTGTTTTCAAGTACACAGAGCAACACAAATAAGACTCAAACCCACTCCTAGATGATTTTTCCAAGTATATGCTTAATGAATAAATAGAAATGCTCTGAAATTTTCTTGGATAGATTGTTTATACTCAGACATACAATTCTAAATGCTTGTAAAAAGCGCACTAATGCTTTAAACATGATTTATTTTTATCTTTCTTTAAAAACATCATACCAAGCTGATGTTTAAATGATTTTGAGACAGCAATCATCCATGCATTAACTTGCTTGCCTTATTTATTTATTTATTTTGAGACGGAGTCTCGCTCTATTGCCCAGGCCGGAGTTCAGTGGCACGATCTCAGCTCACTACGACCTCCGCCTCCTGGCTTCAAGTGATTCTCCTACTTCAGCCTCCTGAGTAGCTGGGATTACAGGCCTACTACAGGATTACCATGCCTGGCTCATTTTTGTGTTTTTAGGAGACGGTGTTTCACCATGTTGGTCAGGCTGGTCACGAACTCCTGACCTCAAGTGATCTGCCCATTTCAGCCTCCCAAAGTGCCAGAATTACGGGTGTGAGCCACTGCGCCTGGCCTACTTGCCTTTATTCTCATAGCTAGTGAAATGTCTTTTGCCTCACTCTCCCTTCAATTTTCCCAAATTATCAGTAAATATGGGACTAAACTGAAGTTTTAATGTATTTGTAAGCAATTATTTCTAGTTATTTCCCCTTGCTTATTATGGTTTCCTTCCAAAAATTTCCACATTCTATGTCAAATCAAAGTACTAACAAGTATATACTTACATGGTATATATGAGGCCATAGTTATAAGAAGAAAGTAATAGTAGTCAAAAGAGACATTGTATTTGTTAGGAAGTCTTATTGAAAACATTCCCGTTTTCTTCACATACGGCAAGGCGGCATATATTGTAAGAAGTTCACCAGCAACTCCGACAGGATATAAGATGATAAAAAAATTGTATCTGGAGAAAGTAAAACCTCAGAGAATTATTTTTCTACAATAGTTATTAGACTTTACATTGCAGATCTATTGCTACTACTAAATTTAAACTTCAAAATTTTCTTTTCTTTACAATAACTTCACATAAAGTTAATATTTCTATTTTAATGATTTGTTTATTATCACCTAATAACAGTTTCCTGTTTAAAAGGCAAGGTCTTTGTAATAAAATAGTATCAACTAATTTTAGAGTACCAAAATAATTTTATACATTACAAAATGTATATGTAGTTTTATTTGTTTTTGTTTTGCGACGGAGTTTGCTCTTGTCACCAAGGCTGGAGTGCAGTGGCGCAATCTCGGTTCACTGCAACCTCTACCTTCTGGGTTCAAGCAATTCTCCTGCCTCAGTCTCCCAAGTACCTGGGATTACAGGCGTGCACCACCATGCCCAACTCATTTTTGTATTTTTAATAGAGATGGAGTTTGACCATGTTGGCCAGGCTAGTCTCAAACTCCTGACTTCAGGTGATCCACCTGCCTCAGCCTCCCAAAGTGCTGGGATTACAGATGTGAGCCACCGCACCTGGCCTCTGTAGTTTAATAAAATGTAGTGTAATGGTAACTTCTTTGGTTCATAGAATCACAAATGACTGCTTTTGCCCCTGGCAGCTAATAATTTACTGATCAAATGCTGCATTTAAAAAGATCAGTGATTATCCTAAATTTTATATCTAAACCTTGAAATTACCAAGGTAGTTATTTTTAAGAGGCATTTGAAAAAGTCTTTGTGGTTACTAATGAGAAGCAATTATTGCAGAAAACTGATAATATCACCTAAAGCATGAGTAGCTACTAACAAGTATATTATATTGTTTAAAACTGCTCCCATAACAAAACAAGTTGACAAGTTACTTCCTGAATTCCCACATTAAAGGAGTAGTTGGCTTGTTTAAAATAGAGCTCAGAAAGTTCAACTCTAAATCCAAAGTCACCATGTGTTCATTCGGTCTGTGGCAAGGTCTGCAACACACAGGAAGCCAGGCATCATGTATACTTTTAATTAGGAAACACTCTGTTCAACTGGCTGGTCTCCAGTAAGAGGGGCCTAAAGGATCCAAGATGACAACATTTCTTCATTAAAGAAAATCATGGCCAGGTGCGGTGGCTCATGCCTGTAATCCCAGCACTTTGGAAGGCCGAGGAAGCTGGATCACAAGGTCAGAAGTTCAAGACCAGCCTAGCCAAGATGGTGAAACCCCATCTCTTGTAAAAATACAAAAATTAGCCAGATGCAGTAGCAGGTGCCTGTAATCCCAGCTACTCAGGAGGTTGAGGCAGGAGAACAGCTTGAATCCAGAGGTTGCAGGTTGCAGTGAGCTGAGATTCTGCCATTGCACTCCAATCTGGGTAACAGAGTGAGACTCCATCTCAAAAAAAAGAAAAAGAAAAAAGAAAATCATTTTTCTCCAAGTTGTTCACAATGTAACAGTTACCACAGAAAATTAAGGTCAAAAGGCCAGAGTGCAAGACCAGCCTGGACAACATAGTGAGACTCCGTCTCTAACAACAACAGCAAAAAATTAGCCCAGCACAGTAGTGCTTGCCTGTAGCCCCAGCTACTCAGGAGGCTGAGACAGGAGGATTGCTTGAGTCCAGGAGGTCAAGGGGCCTGTTAGCCAAGATCACACCACTGTACTGCAGCCTGGGTGATACCACAAGACCCTGTCTCAAAAAAATTAAATTAAAAAAAAAAAGTTTTTAATTTAAAACCAAAGATCAACATTTTGATGGAAAAAGAAATCAAATTAATCTGTATTTTATTTAATCACTTTGATGGCATTAAGAAATATCTATGAAGAAAAGTCAAAGTTGTCAGTATTGAAGAAGTTTGGAGACAAATTAAAAATCACCTTATTCCTGTATGTCAGGGATATGCGAAGATAAAAGATGGGGAGGAGGGCAGAATTATTTGCCGAAACAGATGAGATGTTCAAGAAAGAAGAACGATTCCTTCACTGTATCTGTTTATCCCTTCCTGGCCTTGCTTTCTTACTAGTCTGGTGTAGTTTTTTGTGTATTATTTAAATCAATCCTTTCCTATACCTCAATTTTTTTAATCATATAACTGGACATTTTACATACCTGTCTCAATAAAATATCCAAACTGATTAAGTGGCTTTCAAATGATTTTTTTTGGCAGAATTGTTCCTTTAACAGAAGAAAAAACTATCACTCCTACTATAAGCTAGTTGAAAGTCTTTTTTTTTTTTTTTTTTTTTTTTAAAGATGCGGTTTCACCATCATGGCCAGGCTGGTCTTGAACTTCTGACCTCAGGTGATCCACCCACC